GTCGCACCGCTGCCTCCTCTCTCCCAGGTACAATGTTCAGTGTTCAGGGCTGCAGCTGTGACGCCCCCCCTCCCCCCCTGCTGGAGCCCTGCATGCTGTAGAGGGGCCTGATTTCTCTCTCCTTTGAGTGGCCCCTTGGGGTGCACACTGAAATGTCCATGGCCTTTAAATCCGGAAAGCCTCAGCCCATGCGTTTCACACATACTAAGACAATTAGTCAATTAATTGTTTATAGATTGATAGAAAATGAAGCAATATTTTGTTATGTTATGAGGGTCATTTATCAAGCTATAAAAGACTTAGAGTCTGCAGACAATTTAGCGGCTTTGTGACGCTTTCAGGCGGCGCTAAAACCAATGACTTTGAAAAAAACACGAAAGGCCCTTCAAGAACCAGAATCTGATCCTTCTGGGCTACTGTAAATATATGGCTGGCTTTGTGGTAGGCCCTTGGGGAAAAGCGCCAGGCATCGCAGCTCATTTTCATAGTGGCTTAGCTGTGGGATTGCAACCTTTGGGTCAGTCACATGATGGAGTCAGAAAGACATTGGGGAAGAGATCAGTGATGATATGAAGCCTGAGCTGTTGGACACCTGCCCTTTATGACCCATTGATAGTAAAAGTTCAGGTGATTTTATTCTAAGAACTGTTTTGGCTTCACCATTAACTTTCATAGGAAGGAGGAGTGACGCTCTGCAATGCTTTTCATTGTCTCTATACATCCATAATACAGATATGAATAACCTCTTGAAAGTTTAGACAGCTATTCTTAGTTTCAGGTGATTGAATTTTAAGGAAAATATAGTTATCAATATTATATCCCATTTCTGCAAATAGAGACCCCTTGAATTATACACACTAGAGCTTTAAGCCTTGAGCTAAGTGCTGACGTCGGCATGCTTTGCCGATGGGAAGCCTGTATACCTTGTTTTCATTTTCTCTTTCGCAAAAACACAAATAAAAGCTGAAATGGATTGGAACATCTTTAAACATGACAAAGTATTGTATAAATGAATAATAATAATAATGTTGATCTAATGATCAAGCTAGATAATGAGGATATTTCAATTAACCCTGATGGCATCGTGAATGTTTGTTACCATCCAATGGTTTTTGAGACATTTCTCAGAGATCTACAAATGTCATGCTCATAGTACTGCTGGGCGAGAAGTCATAGCATCACAGAAGTCTTTTGGGTTTATCCAGTGGTATAAAGTAATTAAGTGCCTTTCCTCAAGTACTGTAACTTAAGTACAATGTTTAGGTATTTCCATTTTATGCTACTTTGTACTTATTCTCCTCTACAATTCAGAGGTACATTGTGTACTTTTACTCCACTACATTTATTGAATACCTTTAGTTACTTAACAGATTTGGATTCATAATGTGAAATATAATCAACTCTTAAATCAGACTACCCTTTAGTGTACACATCAGTCATTAAAACTAGCTGCACCTTTACCAGCTTTGATAACACTTTAATGCAGTAAGCTTTTGAATGCAGGACTTTTACTTGTAACAGAGTATTCCTACATTCTGGTACTTATACTTCTACTTAAGTACAAGATCTGAGTACTTTTTCCACCTCTGTGTATATCCTCTGGGCAACATGAATGTCACAAATCTTTGTAGAAATCCATAAAGAAGATGCTGAGAAAAGTCATGTGATAGGTAACACTTTGACCTGCTGATGGCAGATTGAAGAACATTCAGTAGGATTGATCTTCAGGGGAACATGACTGTCAAAGGGGTGGAACGACCAACATTGACATCCCTGCTTTTTTCTGTTTAAATCACAAGGAATTGTTTATATATATATTTGTTACTGTTGGTCATGTGACACAAAATGAAGACTCGAGGCTTGTTGGAAACTGTGACGGACATTTGTCACCACTTTCTGACATTTTATAGACAAAGCAATTAACCTAGAAAAAAAGCAACACATCAATCAATAATGAAATTAAATGTTATCTGTAGCTCTCGCTCTGACCTCTCTGTAGAAGTCACAAAAGACTTTGCCTACAGGGATCAATAAAAAATATCATTATTGCAACAAATGGAAAGAGGAAGCATTTAATGCGAGCGCAATAAAAGACCACTGTCACATTTGGATTTAAAGGAAGTTGAAGTGAGCAGTTGCATTTATGTTCTTAAAGGTGCCATTACTTTTTATGTTTCTGATACCCAGATGAAAACATAAAAACCCAGTCGTGAAACTAAACCGATCAGTTCTTAATTCTTTAATAATATATTACATTTATGCAGTAATACAATAATAATAATAACAACAGTAATAACATTAATAATAAACATACACAGAAAGTACAAAATGATTTGTGTTATTTTTCTTAAGTTACCAACACGTAGTACTTCAAAATAAAAGTAACCAATTCTCCTTTAGCTGCCTTTGTCTCCTCCTTACTGTTAGAGAACCCAGAGAACTCGATTTCCCATGACCACCCAGGAAGAAGAACTACATATGTCCAATCAGGTGGAGTTAAAAGTCTCCCAGAGTTCAAAAGGAGCAAAGAGCAGGTTGTTGTCTCGGATATGGCTTTACGACACTTCCCAGATGAGTTCAGTCCAAAAAAATGTGTATGAGTGTGTGTGTGACTGATGTAGGCAGGGGCTTCTAAAACGTAGACATGTTTACCAAAAAAAGGGGGGGGGGAAATAAATACAGCCGAATGTAGAAACTCATCCTGAAGAGGTGTTTTGTAGACGCCACCATGACACAAACCAGCTACTGAGAAGAGAGGTCCATGCGCCGTGTTGAGTGAGGTGGACACACATTACAGTACAGATATCATCAAGACCCCCACCTCCTCGTCCAGGGGCCCGCAGAGGTTCTTCTGGGAGGTCAAAGTCTCAGTTTTTTTTCCTGAGGGCGAAGGTAAAGACCCAGAGGGGGTAATGGTCAGTCTTTCTCCCCTCTTTCTCTCTTCCTTTCCGCCTCTCATCCTCCATCACCGTCCTCCCTCTATTTGCGGTGCTTCATCTCCTTTTCGTGGTGGCTCTTTCCTCCTCCCTCTCCTTTTTCCAGCATTTTGATGGCCTCCATCAGGTAGCTCTGGAAGGCGGAGAGGGCGGCGCAGATGGCGGGGGTCCCGAAGCCGTGGGTGAGCAGGCTGAAGTGGGTGAGGCTGCCCTGGACACCGGGCTCCAGGCAGGGGGTGGGCCGACTGCCGCCCAGCGGGGAGCGGTCCTGGGACATCATGTCCACAAACTCCTTACAGACCTCCCTGAGAGGAACACAGGCAAGACGTTGGTTAGTTCATCTGTATTCATTTCCACATTGATACATTTGATTCAGTTTAAGTCTTATTTAATGGTTTTTAAAAAGTACAGTTCTCAACATTTTCGATCAATGCGAAGCCAGCACACTTATAGGGTTGGATGTACTCTGATTAAAACCTGTATTAAGTGCCTCAGTACAAATGTTATTCCCTCAACAGAAATGCTACTGGAGTTTGGTGTACTTAGATCATTCCAACTTTTTAAAGGGGGAAATAAATAACCTGATAGACCTGAAACATTGAAATATAGTTTTGTGCCCCTCACTATTGGTATATGTGTAGCTGAGAAATGAGTTCACCATAGAGCATGGATCTGTGTGACTTGGTTAGATTTGATTAGAAGCACTTATTGTCATTATACATGTACAATAAAAAAAGAGCATCTAGCTCTACTGATAAAAACTCTTAAAGACAGTCTTTTAGAATAAATAAAGATTTTGACCTATCTGTGATGCTATAAAATATGAATATGATGCTGTAAAAATTAAAGGTAGAGTGAATCCAGTATGTTTCAGTGCCAGTTTTGAAGTGTCGAATAAAGTAGGAAAAAACAACACTTTATTTGGCTTGTTGAATTGTTTGGCCAGGATAATTTGGCTTCTTAGTGAGGATAAAGCTCCAAAACAGTGGATCCTACTCTTCCCATAATGCACTTAATGTAGTATTTTGTTAAACCCTCCCTATCTGTTTAACACACGTCATTTAAACTCCATACCCCTTGGTTTGTCACACATGTATTATGCTGTTAAATTTGCAGTCTCCAAGCCCCACTGACAAAACTCCTAGCCTTCCCCATCAACAGTAAATTGACATGTAAAATCAGTGGAGGGCCCCTTTAAAATGTACAGTCTGGGGGGGGGGATCACTCACTTGGTGGCGAGCAGCATGCTGCGGCGTGTTGGGAGCTGGTCTGGCTCGCTCTGCCTGCACAGATACTCCGCTGTGGCTCTGGCTGGAAACTCTGTCTCACACACGTAACCAAAGTCCCGCGCCAGATGGACGGCCTCACCTGAGGGGGGGGGGAGGAGAGGGAGGAGGAGAGGGAGGAGGAGAGGGAGGAGGAGAGTGAGTGTGAGAGTTTGTCTAACCAGTACAAAAAAGGGGACCATATACTGCATCAGTAAGACCAAAAGGCAGCTTTAGCTTCTGTGTGTTTTCAAGAGCCAAATGTCAGTGCTCCAGTTTAGATTTAATGTCAGATAAATTATCCATTTATATGCTTTGTGAATGATTCCTATTTACTGCTGTAGCGGCTCGGGGGTTGGGTCAGGGGGTAAACTCTGCAGCCATTCTTCTCACTTTCACCACTCAAACAGTTCACTGCTCTTTGGCTTTGCGAGGCGGCTGCGGCTTTTTCAAGTGACACCATCCGTGCATCCAGCCAGCCACGCTACGGCTTGTTTATTCATGTCTGCTCATGCGAGGAGATTTTCTATGTGAATATGTGTCTCTGTTCGTCAGGATATATGCAGGTCACTGTATTTGTGTGTGTGTGTGTGTGTGTGTGTGTGTGTGTGTGTGTGTGTGTGTGTGTGTGTGTGTGTGTGTGTGTGTGTGTGTGTGTGTGTGTGTGTGTGTTTGTCCCTACCCTCCACTAGAGATGTTAGCAGAGTGACGTTGGCGGCCTTGCGTCGCCCGGCGGGCAGGTTGAGGCCAATCTTCTCCAGACGCTCTCTCAGACAGCGGCCACCATTCTTTGACTTCGCCCTGAGGGAGACAGAGAGAGCATTTTTTAGAAGATGGTCCTTCTATGTGTTTGTGTGTGCTTGGATGTGCCTGTGTGCATGCATTTGTGTATGTGCTTGTTTATGTAATTGAATGTGAAGCTGAAATCTCCCTACAGTATGTTCCCTGTCAACACTGATAGGATCTTGTATTTTTCCCCTGTTTTTAGTCGTTACTCTTTCCTGTTCTCAACACTTTATTTATTCTTTAATACCTACATTTAAGAACATTTAAATATGTATTTATGTATATATTAGGCAGCAGTTTCAAAGGAAGTATTCAGAGCCTCTAAAAGCAGTATAGTGTCCAAATATATCATGCTTTAACTGTAGTAAAAAAACAGATTAACAGACAAATGTTTTTTAAATATCCAAACATAAATGAATTGTTCTGTAGTAAACAGCCCCTGTGAATGATACTGTATGTTTTTATATTACTTGACAAAAACATTTGGTGTATTATTGTGTAAGCAGCATTGTACTGTTGTATGTAGCTGAAGAGGAGCTCATTCTTACTACTTGATATACTATTGAGTCTTTGATTCATTGTATTTTACTATAAAAATCTTGATTTCTGTATTTTCCATCTGAAATGCATTCAAGTATAAAGCAAAACAAAAACATATATAGTTAAGTACCTAAAAATAATAGTGATTTGTTATCAGGGGTCGCTGTATCTCTCAGCTGAGGAGGTTAGCGATAGTGACTACCCTTTAGATCTTTTAATTATGTCCTTAAAGTATTTCTGCCTGCAACCCAAATCATAAAGTTGTTTTCTGGCCCCGAGGCCGTGGCTCATTAAACCACATTGCTCCTCTTGTGATTCAGTCCCATGACCCATTTTAGGTCCTCAGCTCTGGGCCTATGGTGAAGTGAAAGCGCTCTGATTCTGAAGAGAGTACATGCTGGAGAGCAGAGGATGTACTGTAATCTTCACTAACTAACCCAGTGTGAAGACGCAGCTTGAGGCCTGTGCTTAAAGGTACAATGTGTAGTGTTTCCAATGTATCTTTGCAGTAATGCTATTGTTACACTTTTAAAATGGCATTAAATAAAGAAAGTAAGTGCTTTGTCAGCTTCCATCTCTCTCTTTAACTTATACCAAAAAGGATAATACCTCCCCAGAATCTGAAAGCTGGTTCTTTAGCACAGCTATCCTGTTTTGTGCCATGTTTTGTGCACTTTCTTTTATAGGAGTGCTATAAAACATCCAATTTAAAATGCAATGTAAAGGCTTCCCCTATCCTAGCATTTTTTTATAATTATGAGTGAGTCTTTTAATCTGAAATACATCAGACATTTTCTAGTTAACCCATCAAAGAATTACAGAATAAAATGAGTAAAATAAGAAGAATTTGAATTCCCTACATTTTTTCTGTCAGTTATTTACAGGAATAAGAAACACCATTAAAAACTAAATTGGCAGCAAACTGTAACAGCTGTTATTAAAGACATTGGTTATCATTGCATATTGTGTATGTGTCTTAGACAGTTATACCACCCC